CTTGGTAACTCCCTGTGGCAGTGATTGGTTCAGGAATTCAGCTTTTACCCCACAGAACATGGCATTCCCAAGGTTAACATCAAGAAATGAGAGTTGAAGGAAAAATCATTTGAGGCTTTGGGGAAGAATGTTCTCACTTTTAGGAGAGAGGCCCAGGAAAATGATCTCTTTTCTTCTTAGTATTGTTGTTGTGGTCAAGAACTGCTATCAGTAAGAGAATAAAATTGATACCGATAGGAGGACAGAGCCTAAGAGAGACACAGATAAATGAGCCAAAACTATTAGATTACACCCTGAACCCMAATTCACCACTGAGCTTGTTATATGAGTCAGCAAATTACCTCAAGCTAGTTTGATTTGGGGTTCCTGTTATTCGAAGCTAAAAGCATCCTAATTGATATGATTTTACTGTTTATTATTCTTTTAACCCCTAGAGTAGCCTCAGAAAATTGCCTTTCTATAAATATTAAACTTAATGTTTATTATTAATAATACAGATATTATTAAGTCAATTATAGTGTATCCTTATTTTCTTCTTAGAACAAGATTTCTCGGCATTCTAACTTGTTACTTTAATATATTAAGAAAACTGTATTTCCAAGGTTGTTTTAGCCATCTTCACACTTATTAGTATTTAACCTTCATTTAAGTATGTATTTAACCTTTAAATGTCTACTATAAACATGTTTCTGTGTTAAACTTAACTTTCAAAGAGAATATGGCTGAGGGGCTGAGATTGTGGCTCAGAGGAAGAGCGCTTGCCTAGCATGCATGAGGCAATGGGTTTGATCCTCAGCACCATATAAAAAAATAAAATAAAATAAAGGTATTTTGTCTACCTACATCTAAAAAAAAATGTTAAAAAAATAGAGAGAGAATATGGCCTTGCTTAATTTGAGAGAAATTGAAGAGCAATATGTTAACAAACCTCACTAACACAGGATTAAATCACTGTAAAAGCCAGGTATTGAGGCAGGGATGGACATGGCTGAGTGAAGAGCTGAGGAGAGAAGGGAGAGAACAGCATAGGTGGAATGACATCCTTAGGCTRCAAAGTGAAGTGATCACTCAAGAAGAGGAAAGGAAGTATGGAGCTCACTGAGAAACCAAAAGCCTAAATTAAAGATTTGATGATGCAGTGCAGGAAAACAGTGCATTGAGTGGGAAAGGTTGAAATTGCCAGGCTCAGGAAGTTAAATCTCACCACCTTAATTCACCTTCTTTAATGTGTACTGACTCTACTACAGAGATTATTGAAAGTTACTCTGGCAGAGRCATGTAGGTGAATTAGACCAGGAAGAGGTTGGCACAGTGTTCTGGGAAACCATTACCAATAATCCACATACAAAGTGACCAAGAGCTATAGGATAATAGAATCTGAATTCTACATGGAATTTCAGAGTTCCCAGAGCTGTTCACACACATCTAATTTATATAATTAGATCCTCTTATCCCTTTTTATGGATGAGGATACAGAGGTATAGAGCAGTTAAATAATCTGTCCCAAAATTGTCAGTGATGGAACCTAACCTATAATCTAAGACTTTTGACTTTCCAGTTCAGTGCTTTTCAATAATCTTAATATGTTCCATTTTTAGTGAAATTCCTTCATTGTAAAAATGGTACCTCTTTTAGGTTCCTGTTTGCTTTCTTCCATATTTGCTAACTTGACTTGTGCTCAACAGCACTTGTTTGTCGACTAGCTCTTGAAAGCAGCATAAATAAAAAAATCTTAATGCCATAGTTCACACTTACAAATATTAAAGCTCTGACTARTGTGAAGATAGTTAAATATTACCATCTTTTAGAAATTCCTCAAATAACAGAAAGGCAATACTTTTAACAAATATAAAAGTAAATAAGTAAAATAGGTCAGGAGAAAGTTTCTGAAATGGAGAGTGAGACATTAAGGGAACCTCAAAATGACTTCATTGAATGAAGGTAGTAAAGTAGTTGCCTTTGATTCCTCAACTGTGGGCAAATCAACCTTTAAAGACCTGGAAGTACCATTTTAATAAGTCAGAATAAGGTAAGTGTTAATCTGAACATACTTTTTTTCTTTTTCCTCCAGCACTGGGGATTGAACAACCCAGGGCTTTGCACATGCTAGGCAAGCACTCTTATCAGTGAGTTACATATATTTACAGATCTTTTATATTATTTTGAGATAGAGTTCACTAAATTGCCTAAGCTGGCCTTGAACTTGTGATTCTTCTACTCAGCCGCCCAAGTAGCTGGAATTACAGGTGTGTACCACCTTGTCTGACTTGAACAGGCATTTTGATTTATATATATATAATCTTTTATTTAAAATGTGAATGAGCTATGTTAATGATGAATGTTGGACATTTGTCCTTTAAGTTATTCTTCAGGTATGCTCTAGATATGTTGAAAGTTATGATTTCCTCCTTTCTTGGTGGTTTTGTTAAAAGAAAAACTTTAGACAAATTAAACTTAATGGAGTTTAATTGAGCAAAGAGCAGTTCATGAATTTGGCAACTCCTAGAACCAGGGACAGGTTCATTGARACTGGGACTACAAAGGGGAAGTGACATAAAGAAAACAGAAGCAAGGTACAGAGATAGCTTGATGGATTAAAACTTGGCATTTGCCTTAATGAAACCTGATTTGACTAAAGATTGGCTGYTATGATTGCCTGAGACTCAATTATTTGTTACAAAGCAAATTCCTAAGTTAGGTTTTTCAGTTTGTTTAGTACTGAATTAGGTTGCAGTTTCAGATACAAGGACTGGAAAGGAGGCTTTTTCAGGCCAAATTTAGTTTGATTTAAGAAGGTTAAAAAAACACATATCATGGACTGGGGCTGTAGCTCAGTGGTAGAGTGCTTGCCCTGAACGTATGAGGCACTGGGTTCGATCCTCAGCACCACATAAAAATAAATAAAGATATTGTGTCCCTCTACAACTAGAACTAAAAAAAAAATTTAAAAAATACTTATGCTTTAAGAAAAAACATATCATAAAATTTGMACTTGGAAGTTTTTAAGTGTACAGTTAAATGGTGTTAAGAAACATTTATTTGAGTGCCTCCCATGTGTTGAGGACTGTTCTTGTTGCCACCAAAAGGAGGTAAGGGTAGAGGAAGGTCTCTCGGAGGGTCTTTTATTACACCAGATTTGGAGGTATGTAAAAAAGATGAATCACAATAAAAATCATTGCTTATTCAGTCTGAAATTAGTGATGGTAACAATAAATTCTGTGGGATTCTAGCAATAACATTTATGCTGTGGAAGTAAATTTTTGTCACCACTGCAGATACTGCAGTACTGAGGGAGGTACCTTAGAAGTAATGTGAACCATGTAACCTGGGGATATTGGGTATCGGATTGTATTTGTTAGTCCATGGTTATCAGTAGGGGAAAGAATGATTAAGAAGTGACTTTTTAGATTAGCCTGAGTGTGATTTTTGTCTTTGTCAGGATTTACAAGAGTACCTAAAAAGGCTCTCTAAGGGAAAAGTACCACTAAGAGAAGAAGTGGGGGGAGGATTGGTTTAAGCCTGTGGTATTTAAAGCTGGAGCTGAGACGCAGCCTCTTTGGGTACTTTCAGTCTCTAGATGAAGGAACATACCTATTGAAGGCCCTCACCTCAAATGCAGTTAATGTTCAAAATAATCTAGAAGACGCATAATTTACATGTTTTTTTTCAAAATGTCTTAGAAACCACTGTGCAGAATGCAAAAGAATAGAGAAATCTAAAACAAAGCTGAGTAGCCAGATGATAAGCATTTAGCAAATTGCTACTGGATTGTATTCACCAGTTGATCTGCTCGGAAAGCTAATTCCTAAAATATGACAGAGCATGCTGATAATTGTTAAAGGCTGTGGCTGTGTGGTTTTTTTGTAGTAGAAATCCATAAATAAGTTTTGAGCTACCAGAATGAGGGGAAGTATGTGAGGGAGGGGTTGAACTTTTGAAGTGTCAGAGCCCCAAAGGACTTTCACATGGCATCTATCAGGCTCTGTTGAGCATTTCGTAACTCCGGCTTCAGGTTAAAAATCATCTGGAAAGTTTTAAAAATGCTAGTGCCCAGGTTCCACCCTTAATATRTTAAGACAGAATCTGAGACTATAAAGGGGGAAGTGACATACAGAAAACAGAAGCAAGGTACAGAGATAGCTTGATGGATTAAAACTTGGCATTTGCCTTAATGAAACCTGATTTGACTAAAGCTTGGCTGCTATGATTGCCTAAGACTCAAAATTATTTGTTACAATTATTTGCAATTAGAGAAATTGCAAATAATTGTAACAAATCAAAACTACTCTTAATATGTTAAGACAGAATCTCAGAATTTGGGGAAGGAGGCACTAGTCATGAGGTATTTTTCTGTTTTTTCTTTTTTCTTTTTGTGTTTGTTTATTTGTTTAAGTTCTGCAAGTAATTCTGAAGTTCAGCCAGGGCTAAAAACCATTCTGACTTTTTACTTCTAAGCAGTAATCTATGGGGACGTTTATTAAAATGTATATAAAATGCTTGCTAACTGTATAAAATGCCGGCTTCTCTCCCCTGCCATCAAATAGGCTGTTTTGTTTTGTTTCTTCTTAGTTGCAGGTTCCAAAGAAAGAAATGAAAAAAGATGAAGAGAGACATTTTAGAGAGGTCCCATGGCCTTCTTTAGGAAAGGATGGGGGTTGAGGGGTAGGAAACATTGCTATTAAATGTATTTCAGGAAGTAGAAAATATGGCATGTTCTCTATTTAAATTATGTAACTTTGCAGAATGTGGTCCATTTGTGTCAAAATAATGAGGCATATAATACGTTGCATTTAACATGTGTGGGAATTCTTTGCAGAGTAATTAGCATTCCTTTCTTCAGCCTGTATTCAGAGGAAACATACCATTCACACCCTCTCTGTGCTCACATTTTCCAGTGCGTTGGAGAGCTTTCTTTTCAATAGAAATCTTTGTCCTCTTCCTAATAAGACTTGGATTCGATTTGAAGAAACTTAGCATATCCTTCTTTGTTTTTCTGGCAGGAATTGATTTTAAAATCAGAACGATAGAACTAGATGGAAAGAAAATTAAGCTTCAGATATGGTAAGTACCGGAGGTGGGGGAAAACACACACACACACACACACACACACACACACACACAGTTTCTATTTTAATTGGGAATTGAGAGTGAGAATTAAAATGTGAGTTATAATGGTTTAAAGGCATCTTATGATAGCCGAAAGATCTTTTCTTTATTGAACCAAGGAGAAATGGGTAAGTACTTAGCATCCTTCAAAGGTATCTTCAGTAAGAGTGGGAAGGCGAAGCATGATAYAGTTAACTCTGATAGCCAGAAGAGATCTGGGAGCTCATTCTTTCCAAGCTCTAATTTTATGCAGGAGGAAACTAAATCCTAAAACATGTATTTTACTTATTCATTGCAGTTATTACAACTATGAAATCAGATAAGGCAAAAGGTTAAGTAGTACAAACCCTGTACAGAAAATACAGAGCTAGGCTCTAGCCACAGTGTCTCTAAATCAAGGACTTTGGGCTTATTGCTTCCCTTCTTTATTACCTTCATGTCACTATATTAAAATATCTGAGACAATTAACTTATWAAGAGCAAAGGTTTATTTTGGCTCACAGTTTTGGAGATTGCATTCAAAGATCAGGCAGACCCATTAGTTGCCATCCAGAGGGTACCAGATGGCAATGTCAGGGAGCACATGATAAAAAGCAAACCGATCACTTTGTGAGCCAGGAAGCAAGAGCAGGGAAGTGTCCAGGGTCCCACAATCCCTGTTAAGGGATTCTCCCAATGATGCAAGGACCTCCTACTAGGCCCCACCTCCTACAAAAGGTTTCATTTTATACTATGTTTTCAATAATTTTGTACATGAAACAAAACTTAATGTGTGGAATTTCACATTTGTATGTTGGCACATATAAGTTTTTTTGTTGTTTTGTTTTTTTGATATTTGGGATTTCAGATTTTGGAACATTTTGAGTTTCAGGTTTTGAAACACTTCAGACTTCATAACTTCATCCTGTAATACATATCAGCTTTATTTTTACGCCTCACACGTCAGATAGAACACAATCTCTAGGGTATATAAAGAACTCAAAAAGCTAAGCACCCMAAAAACAACCCAATCAGTAAATGGGCCAAGGACCTGAACAAACACTTCTCAGAAGAGGATATACAATCAATCAACAAATTTATGAAAAAGTGTTTATCATCTCTAGAAATTAGTGAAATGCAAATCAAAACTACCCTTAAGATATCATCTTACTCCAGTCAGAATGGCAGCTATTATGAAGACAAACAACAATAAGTGTTGGCGAGGATGTGGGGAAAAAGGTACACTCATACACTGCTGGTGGGACCTCAAATTGGTGCAGCCAATATGGAAAGTAGGATGGAGATTCCTTGGAAACTGGGAATGGAACCACTATTTGACGCAGCTATCCTTCTCCTCTGTCTATACCCAAAAGACTAAAAACAGCATACTACAGGACACAGCCACATCARTGTTTATAGTAGTACAATTCACAATAGCTAAACTGTAGAACCAACCCAGATGCCCCTCAGTTTTTCTTTTTCTCCTTTGAATCTCCRAACTAGGATAGAACTAGAATATTTTATTGAAGCACACCTCCAGCCCTTCTTTAATTGAGGAGGAGACTAGGATTTGGAGTGGTTAAGTTAATCTGAGGTGGCATATTGCTGGGTTAGTGATAATGCTGGGACAACCATCCAAATGTCCTGGAGCATGGTGTCAAATTCATGTAGTAGGCTAATCTAGTGGTTCCCCGTATGTTTCATTAGAAAATACTGTGAAGGTTCCCATAGGCTGCCCTTTTCCTCTATTGATGTTTAGTAAGAAAAAATATTTTAAAKATATAAAAATAATTTTTAAAGAGGGCAATAAAAAGAATTTCTGATTCTGTGTTARGCAGTCCTGATCATAGCAATAAGGAATGTTTCTCAGAGTCCGTGGATGATTAGCTGATTAGAACTTAGTATAGAATAGCTACAGTGGTTTAGATGCAGTTTGTCTCCCAAGGATCCATGTGTCAGAAGCTTGTTCCCCAGTGTGACTGGGAGAAAATGTGGAACCTTTAAGAAGTGGGTCCTAGTGTGAGGACCTTAGGTTACTTGGGGCATTGGCCACAAAAAGGGAATACTGGTCTCCTGGAGTGAGTTCTCACAAAAGCAATTTGTCAGGAAATCCTGAGCCTGACCCCTGACTCACTCTGTTTTCCTGTCTTGAGATGCACAGTCCCTTCCTCCTGAAGTGTTCCCTTTACTACCATCCTCCATGATATGATGCAGCTAAGGGGACTRTCAATAGAGCTGAGATAGTGTTTTTTTGAGCCTCCAAAACTGTGAGCTAAATAAAGCTACCCCACTTGGGCTTGCGCACATGACGCCCCCCCCCCCCAGTCTCGTGGTGCTGGGGATCAAACCCGGGGCCTTATACATGCTAGGCAAGTTCTCTACCACTGAACTATATCCCAAGCCTAATGAATCAATGAATCTCTTTTTCCTTATGAGATGACCTGCCTTAGGTATTTTGTTATAGTAATRCAAAATGAACTAATATAGTAGCCAAAACATMATGGCCCTGAACTATTATTACTCTCAGCAGAAAAATAGTCTCCATTCAGACTTCACAACCTACATTTAGTGTAGCAGGGTTTCTTTTCCATCCTTACTGCAAAGCTGTTTCTAAATTAGTAGTGTATGTAAAGAAAATATGGTTAACCTGCTCAAAAGTGCTTGACATCTTTTGCCCCCATGATTTGTTTGCTGTATGCAAAACAAGTGCCCTGTGTATCTAATCAGCGAAAGAATGACAAGATAGGGCTTATCAGGCATTGATGTGAAACTTGTGCTGTACATCTCTGCCACTAAAAAAGCTTGAGCCTTATTCAAGCTTTTTTAGTGGCAGAGATGAGACCCCAGCCTTCCTGAGCCTGTATCCGCTTTTGCAAATGAGGATGATGTAATACTTTCACACATGCTAGGCTGTAATGGGCATCATGTGAGCACAATGTGAAAGTGTTTTGTAAGGTATATATAAATGTTAAGGTATTTATTGTTTTTCATTTACTATATTTCCCTTGGTTCCTCATGTATTTCCACAAATGCCTCTTTCTCCCTTCCAATTAAATTGTACAATTTAGTTTGAGTAGCACAGGGAACAAATTAGTTCTGGCTGTAAGTAGCAAATATGAGAATATTGATTTCACAAATATTAAGAAAATTTGACTTCTTTTATAGGATTACTACTAATTAATAACTGTGTGTGTGTGTGTGTGTGTGTGTCTGTCTGTCTATCTGTCATCTGTCTGTCCCACCACAGTGCTGAGCATTCATTGAACCACAGGACCCTGCATATAATAGGCAAGCACTCTACCACCAAGCTATACCCTGGCCCATCAGAATATATTTTAATGGTGTGCCACCAGACAAAAAACAAGAATATGTGAAAGCTTATATAACTTTGAAGTGTTCATGTTTGAAAGTCTTTGAAAACATCATCAAGAATGATGTGTTAAGCTTTAGGCTCCCATGTAATCATGGACTCCACTGCTGAAAATATTTTGGGGGAGATCTATTTTATTATGGTTTGCTAAGTAGAATGTACACAGTAGTAAATCCAGTTCAGTTGTTTGCTTTGTACAGAAGTCACACGTTCAGTCAAGAAAGGAAAATGCCTTAATCATTAATCACTTATAAGAAGGATTATTGCTACCTCTGAGAGTCTAAGAATTGAAAACTATTCCCTGTTCCCTCCCACATGTGTTTGACTATGCCAGTTCCTAGCAGGACCTGTGTATTTTCTGTTGCTGCTTTTATCAGCAGGGTCCAAGGTTTTCCTCCAAGTCATTTGAGCTTCTGACAGGCTCCTATGGCTGCCACTGCCTCCAGCTCACAGATGCACAGTGGGCTCTCTTTGTGTCTCATTCTCCTCTCCTTTGCGACCACTTCACTATGAGAAAACCAGAATTCCATCTCCTCCAGTGTGAGGCCTCTTCTCAGTGATGCTGTGATGACTTTTGAAACTGTTCTCTCTTTTGTTTCAAATTTTAGGGACACAGCAGGTCAGGAAAGATTCCGAACAATCACAACAGCATACTATAGAGGAGCCATGGTGAGTGTGTTTTAGGGTTTTATAACTCTTGAGGTGAAAGTAAAACATGAATATTCATTTACTCTTATTATATGAGTCAAGCTGGAATCTAATTCAGTGAGAGAAAATAATTTTTTTAAATGTGAAAACAAGATATTTTAAAAGGTTTTCGGGTGATGTGTTAGGTTTAATAACTATATTTTGCCATTGGTCTTCATAATAATCAGACAATTAGCTTGTAGATATTCTAGAATTCTTCTGCATTCTGAGGTGTTCATATATTTTTGAGATTTTTTTCCCTTTTATTAATACCTCATGACAATCTCAGTAGACCACAGGCCCCGTGACTAAGTGTCTATTTCTTGACCCCTTTGTCACTCAGCCCTGCTGCCATCATCCCTTATCTCTCACAACCTCTTCCCCCCAATCCCCTGCTTATGGCTCATTTCTCTGGTGTCTCCTTGACCAACATTATACCAGCTTGTCAGGAAGTAACTGAATGATCCAAGACTCTTTGAGACTTAGAATCTGGTGAATCTTTACTGCCAGGTCTTTCTTTGCTATATTCTGGCCTTTTCCATGTTATCATAACTTCATTACTTGGTTATTTTCCTCTCTAAAATGTCTCGTCTCTTCAGTGCATTTATATTGCTTGACTCTGGGCAAGTCATGTGTGGTGCTGGGAATACAGTGGTGAATAAGGCAGCTTAGAAGCAAAGAACCCAAATCAGAACCTCAGGCCCAAATCAGGGCTTTATCTCTGGCTTTTAGGCCTAAGCCAGAGGCTAGAGGTATAGTTTAGTGATAGAATGCTGGGTCTAACGCCCCCACACCCTCCACACCCCCCAAAAAATAGCTAAGTAAATGAATTAGGCCCAAGCCGGGCCCAACCAAGTTGAAGCCTTGAATTATGATGAAATTCAATATGCTTAGAGTCTTTGAAGGTTGAACAATTGAGCTCATAGAGCCCAACAAAAGATTCAGGAGGGGACTGAAACAATCTGATATTTTACTTAGTTTAGTTTGTGGTGACTGAAGGAGATAATGTAATGACTGATGTCTTGACAATGGTACCTAAGGAACTTCTAGCCCTGTCTATATCTTTGGCCTCATCTTGTGCCCTATTCTCAGTAGATCTATGCATTGTTGCCCAGCTGTCTTTGTTTCCCTCCAGTGGGCTCTGGGCCTTCCATTCCAGTGAGATATTTTTATTTCTGCTATTTGCCCCAGATATCCATGGGCTTCCTGTCTTCACCCTATCCCTAACCCCTTGTTCCCAGTGTAAGTCTATTCAGTCCTCAGACCTTGGCTTTAATGTCATTTTATCAGAGAAATCTCTCACTATTCCAGCTTTTCATTCAGCTTAAGATTACATCCCTGACTTGTGAGCTTAGAGCTCCTCATGCTTCTTCATAGCAGCTATCAAAATTATAATTAATTGTATAATTATTGGTTCATTGTCTGTTTTCTTTGCTAGCCATCCCCAAGAGGAAGGGAACTTGACTATCTTATTCATTGCTATTAGCACCTAGTATTATTGTATTAGGCATATAGTGGATGCTCACTAAATATTTGTTGAATGGTGAGCAAATCTAGCATGTAGAATCAAAAAGTGGTCTGAGGATATAGATTATGGACTTGTTAACTTGCAAATGTTARATGAACCTTTTAGAAATACCAGATGTGGGATCTTTAAAAATGTGATGACAGGGCCTTTCATTACACCTGCATAACAAATACATTATATTTTAAGTGTCGATAATTTACTTAGAATAAATGATGACATTTTGATTAACCTATATAAAAAATTTAAAGCAGTGTAGTCTCATTCTTAGTGGAGAACTAAGAAGCAAGATGATTTCTACTTGGAATGGAAGTGATTACCTCYTCGTTTTAATTTACCTTTATTTTAACTTAAACTTGCCTTCAGTTCCAGTTTGTGCTGATTGTTATCATGTGAGGTCAGGTAGAAGAGGTGTATTACCTTTACCACAATCACTAATTCATTAAAGGTTAACAATGAAGATAAAGAGTATTTATTTACATGGTGAAGCAATGGAAGAATTTATTTTTCTCTGTACTTTTCAAATACATTATGAATCCCTTTTTAAAGAAAAAAGGAACAAAAGGTTTCTGGAGGGTAGGAGTACATTGACATTATATACTATAACTTAAATATATGAAGTACTATATAAAGACTTTTGTTTCCTCTTATAGGGAATTATGCTGGTGTATGACATCACAAATGAAAAATCCTTTGACAACATTAAAAATTGGATAAGAAACATTGAAGAGGTATGTATGGAAAGAGAATGATGATACTGGAGAGGAATCCTGGTGAGTGCTTACTATATAAGGCCCCTCTGTCTTTCTCTAAGGCAGCCAGGCTGCTGAGAGAGATGTAGGACATAGGAAGGCTAGTCCCTCTCTCTGCACTCCATGAAGATCTCTGGTGCTGCCAGTCTGATTGCTGTGGGTTGTACACAGAGGAGCAATTTCACAGAATTTTAAACTTGGGCCAGATCTTGGAAATAATTTTATCCTAGTCCCCATTTTATTCATATAGAAACTGAGGCCAGAAGTAAGTGACTTGCCAGTGTTTGCACAGCCTTTAAAAAGGAGAATCAGAATTAGGACATTTAATTCCCAGTTTTATCAATTCTACCTGCTGTGTGACTAGCTAAACTATATTTTTACTCTGGCAACTTTTTCCCTTCATTTTCTCCATGTTAAATGAAGGTATTTGAAATTTGGCTTAATTCCAGAATACTTTTGACATTTCAGAAATCGTACTCTGAAATAACTTTGTTCACGTTTATATTAATCCACATAAATTTAATTTTTAAATAGTTCGGAATCCAAAATATTTCTCCACTGGATCACTATCATGTTTTTCTGTCTTGCTTGGTCCCCCCTCCCTGCGCTTACCGCCCACTCCCACCCCATGTCTTTATGTACAAAAAGCCATGAGAATGATGACTGGGAACCTATGGGGAAGGAGTTTATATAGGCTCTGCAAGGCTCTAAGCTGTAGCATTCCCCTCCTCCCATCTGAATCAGGCCTTGTGTTGAATGAAAGATTATTTGTCTTATTATTAAATACATTGATGTGTTTCTGACAGGTTAGGATTTTCCTGTTGAATAGCTGTGATTTTTCTCAGGCTGTTTTTATAGTGTACTATTTTCTTCTTGCAGCATGCCTCTTCAGATGTTGAAAGAATGATCCTTGGTAACAAATGTGATATGAATGACAAAAGACAAGTGTCAAAAGAGAGAGGGGAGAAGGTAAATTTRAATTGAATAAAAGTTGGAATCTACTTACATTAAGTCTTCATTTTCTTAATATTATTTAATTATTGATCTAAGTTTTTAAAATATGTGTTTTAATTCTTTAGAATGGAGTCAGCAACAAAGAGATGTAATCCATACTTGAATGGTGTGAATTAGTATTCAGGATCCAACTCCTTATACTGTGTCGTCATGACTCACTCCTAAAGAATTTGCTAATGTTTTCTGGGAGATACAAATTGATCCTTTTTAAGATTTTCTGCAGCTTAGAGTTCAGGCTGTTTCTTCCAGATCTGTGTGAAAAACCAAGTTTTGAAGTTAAAACAATTTGGAGGGGGAAAAAAAGGATAAGTAGAGTTTCAACAATCATTTTCCAGTTTATTTTATTTTCTAAGAATATTCTATCATACACTGGATTTAGGCCATTATGAATAAACTTTTTGTAACTGATCAAGCTATAGATATGTCATTTGTAGGCTTTTCTATTTAGTGTCCTATAAAGCAAAAATTTATATTTTGTAGCTTTTTAATTCTATGGCATTTTCTAAATTAACTTAAGAGGTTTCCCTTTTTGAGTCCTGGAATTTTGCTTTATCCTTTTTCTTCAGGGATACATGCAAAATGCATTTTGTTTTTTAATCTGACTGCACACTTTTCCCCTAAAAACATTCACTTAATTTTAGTGTGGTAAGTGAACTGAGGAACTCTTTGAGAGTAGATGGAAATATGGAAGAATTCACAATTCTTCTAAATCAATAGTATAAACCAGTTCATTTAAAAATAATTAAAAGTGACTTGGAGGGCTGGGGCTGGGGCTTAGTAGTAGCGCACTTGCCTGACGTGTGTGAGGCATTGGGTTTGATTCTTAGCACCATGTATAAATAAATAAATAAACGAATGAATGAATGAATGAATGAATGAATGAATATATGTATGTCTATCAACAACTTAAAAAATAATTTTAAAAAAAAGTGATTTGGAGAATTGTACCTTTGTAGAAAACATAAAGGATAAATGAATCCCAAGTTATGTTAAGAGTGGGAATTCATCTCATAATTTTTCTTGTCTGTATATTAGAGAACCAAAAGTTTAGTAGAACAAAGAGAAGTACTGACATTGTATATTAAATGAAAGTTATGCCACATTTACTATTAAGTTAAATTATTAAATTTCAAATGAAATAGAAGAAAGCAAAGAAATTTGAGAACAACAGGAGTTCTGTAATTGATAACCTATTTGGGGGACTTTGAAAAACCTAAAAAATATAAATATGTTCAAGTCACTTTCACTGGATTTAAGGTTTCTGTTTGCCTTTCAGTTAGCAATTGACTATGGGATTAAATTCTTGGAGACCAGTGCAAAATCCAGTACAAATGTAGAAGAGGTAAGAAGAAAATGTTTGGTAATGGCACCAGTGCTTTATGTGCCCACATTCAAGTGATTGATTCTCAAAGCCTTGATGTTTTCTGACCAAGTGAAAAAGGCTTTTGTGAGCATATCTCCATATTGTGCACTGTGACTTTCACATGGTATTTGGGTGGCTGAATTTCTAATGTCCAGACCTCACAAAGATTTTTTTTTTAAGATTGTCAATTAAAATTTACCAAATAGGAAATAGAAGTTCAGTTTAAGTTCAGTGTAATTCTTTGGGAAGCTGGAAATCCTGGATAAGCAGGCCAAGAGGTGTCTTTTGCTCATGTGTCATCATTCATGTCACCTTGTAGTAGCCTRTAGCAGACAAGTTAAATTACTTTCATGTCTGTATTATCCCAAGAGAGAATAAAACTGCTATTTTATTGAACARATTCCCTTTTTGTACACAGTGAAGTAGGTTAAGCACAATACATTGTAATATTATGACATTAGGTARAAATAAGATAGTTTGTCAGAGAGTAGCTTTAATGAATTTTTATTAAGTTAGCTGTTGAAGAAAATCACATCTTTTAAAGTCTTCTAAGAATAGGTTTTCTTTACCAAGGGCAGAATTACCAATATTTTCTTTGTTTAAAAAAAAWTTTTGGAACTGATCATAAAAAATAATACATGTAATATGTGTTAATAAATAATTCAYTTAATAATACAGATGTTTGGCCTCCTCAACATTTAATTTCTTAGGTTATTCACTGTCATAACATGAAGGGTAAAACTCAAGACTTAAATAATTTTRTTTGCCAGTGGACACTGATCAGAACATTTTTTTTTTGTTTTAAATAACACACTCATCTTTTCAAGTTGGCTAATGGGTATTGGGAAACAGGAAGTCTCTACTGATTTATTTATACAAGCATAGTTAAGCAGAAAAATGCTTCCTTCTGCTTGCCACAAAAGGATTTCCCTCTACAAGAAAAGAGGGCAGTCTCTTACCTTAGCTCAGCATGAATGGTAGAAACAGAAAAGCTTGCTCACTGTGATGGCCCTGTAGGATCATTCACACAGGATGATCTCTGTACCCTGGCTTAATGAAGCAGGCCTGGTCTCTTTTAGTGCCTGCACCCTGATCACAGCTATGGCTTAGAGGGAGCATTGAGTTTTGGAAGTATAGAATGAAGAGTTGCTTGAGCTGCTTATTCAGGCAGGTGTTCTAGAGAAGTTAGCAATTTCCCCAAAGCTTTAAATTAGTGTGGTTAGCCTCATACAAACTAAGATGAGGCCTGGAGCGTAGCTCAGTGACAGAGCTCTTGACTAGCAACTGTGAAGCCCTGGATTCAATCCTTAGCACCACATATCAAAATAAAGGCACACTCTCCATCTACAACCATAAAAAAAAAAAAAAAAAAAAACACTAAGATGAGCTTTCTTAGAAACTTACTTATATGTAACCATTGTGACGTTGAGATACTGATCATGAGTATCACTAGTAGTTTTGTTTAATTGGATTGCAAATAATACTTTTCCTAAACAGTTTTTGGGGATCAGGAGTGGCTGGAAACAATGAGGCTGACATAGCAGTGCGTTTAGCAGGGGAACAATTGAAGAAACTGTAGGAGTTCTTGACTGCAGAAACAAAAAGTGATGACAGGCTTAAAAAATACTTGGTATGGGTCAATAGATAATATAAGTTGATAAGACACAGAAGATTGTACATACTGTTAACAGTCAGAAATTAGAGAGAGAGATTTTTGCAAAGATAGATATTAGAGCTAGAGTRCTGCATAATTATTCATTCTCTCATTAAACAATAATTGCATCTCCTTAGACCAGGCACTGTGACCTGCTCTGGGGAAGGTGGGGGTGCTGCTATCTTTCTTTTTCACTTCGCACATCAGCACATCTGCCTTGTTCTTGATGTACTGAGGAAGCTATTCATAACTTGTATCAGATCTTACATGCAAAAAAATATTTAATGAATGAATGAAAGACAGTTTGAAATGTTTGTGATATAATTGTAAAGAATATGGAACATTAATGTGCATACTATGATTACAATTATGCTCTTTTCTCAAAAACTCTAAAGTAATATATTTATAATGAAATACTTTTCAAAATTCCATTTCTGTTTTGAAACATTATGAATATATAATAATGAAATTTTTTGTTTTACCTTTAGGCATTTTTTACACTTGCACGAGATATAATGACAAAACTCAACAGAAAAATGGTTTGTATCACTTATAATTTCTATTTCTATTATGTGGATTTTTTAATTTGGCATTTGATGATAAGGATGAGCATGATTATAACATATTCACATTAAGCTCACTTTTTCCTGACTCACATCATCATTCATCATTCATCTGGTTGGACTTTGATTTCTTTCCATTTCTTTAGGATCCTTATTCCTGCACTGAAGCTGTCTTTAATTGAATTTCGATTGGAATAATGAAAATACTAATGGCACAAATTATATTTTTCCCATAAAATTATCTAGTTCACCTTCATGTGACAGATATTTATATATTATGATTTTGAAGTTTGCTTAAATTTGAAACTATCTAAGTGATTAATCATTAGGAAAGGCTTGAAAGTTTGTTTTAACCATTCCTGACTCTAATTGTACACTTTATATTACCAGCTTTTCTTATATCTAACAGGATTTTTTCTACACTAGAATCTAAATATTGTTTCTATCACTRTCCTTGAAACGTTATACTCCATTGGTTATAATTTCTTTGAATTGGAAATTTGACTTTCCTACCTAATATATTATTAAAATAGAAGTGCTATCCCAAGAACATTTTTCTCTTTTTATTCACCATTTCCAAAGAAAAAGATGACACCRGAGCTTAACTAGTTCCCTTTCTAATTCAGTTAGTAGAGTACACATTTCACTAGAATGTACATTTCACATAGTATGGTTTATTTTTATTTTTAAGTAATTGGGGGTAAAAACATGAAACTTTTATTTCCTTGGTAACTTTGTCTTCTATTTTTTAGAATGACAGCAATTCATCAGGGGCAGGTGGACCAGTGAAAATAACAGAAAACCGATCCAAGAAGACCAGTTTCTTCCGTTGTTCGCTGCTTTGATGAACTCTTTCTTTTTGAGAGACTGCAGCATACCTAGAAGGCCCTTTCCTGCTTTTCTGAAAGCACAGGTCACCCGGCCTCAGAGTCACACTGCCCGGCTGCTGCTGAGAGCACCCACTGAACTTAGACCTCCCGACACAGAATGCCAAGTGGATCCAGCCTCGTGGCCTAGCAAAAGAATAGGCTCCTTTTTATTATACATGGAAGCAATGAAGTGGAGACACATGCAGGACCTTGCTGGTTTTTTCTTTCTTTTATTGCCTGTTGCAAAAGCTGCTATCTTTCTTTTTCACTTTGCACATCAGTATTAGCCTTTTCTTATTACTGTACACCTTAGACTCATACTTGCACACTTTTGTGGCATGAAGTTCTAGACAAATTTGGGGTTGTTTAAAATACAACAGAATATTAAGCAGAGGTTGACAGACTAAAATTAAAGGACACTTGGTCTGGTTCATAGGGCCAAATATTGTATTGGTAGTAATTGTTTAARGGCTTTGATTTGTGATTTTCTTAAATAAGAATCATTAAATTATGATCAAATTTATTTTAGAAAGTCATAAAAATGCCTACTTGTTCATCAGCAGCCACAGTAGCTTTCTTCAGATTGTTAAGATCTTTTGTTTCATTCTTGATCTTTTTGCCAGAGTCTGGATAGCTGAATGAATCACTTTTTAAATTCATTACCTCTGCCTGATCTTATGGAAACTGCATTTGGAAATCACCATAATCTCATTTTTCCTGGGGTTTGTATTTGCTGTTCTTTCCTATGTTGGACTTATTGTAATTACTTAGTTATCTAAAACTAGTAACAAATTTGACCATTGTTGTCTGAKTCTATTTGTGATCTTTTTGAGCTGAGATTTTACATAGGGAGAGAAATGCATAATTTAGGGCTTTATTTTAGCATCTAACTGTGGTTGTGTCACATCAGAATATATATAATATATTTTTTCTTAGGTTTACCCCTTAGCTTAYTAGTTAATACCAAATTTCTACCATAATCCCTGTCTGCAAGATTAACTTAGATTTAGATTATAGTTGGCAGAAAGCATACTTATAGGGAGAGAGAAGAACTTGTCAATAGAAATTTAAGAGATAGTTCTTAGTAATGGTGACAATAATGATTTTTGGTTCTATTTTGGGGTTTTTAAAAAGTTAAAAGTAATTATACCTAGTGCATCATCTCAGAAAAATTTTGCCTTTTCATTAAGAGAAAATATGATGAAGGCTTCACTTTTAAAACAGTTGTTGAATGTGTAGAACCCAGCTCCATCTGTTAAGGTTCATTGTTATAGAACTTGGTCTAGTTATTTGGACCAAAGCCAACCAAAAGCTTAGTTGCCTTTCTCACCAAACACTGGTACTGGTATTCCTTTTGTAGATGTAGCCATCCATAAGATGGTTTTTAATGTTAACTTATGTGCCAAATTCAGATCATAATGTCATTGTTGCTTTTGTAGCCTTCAGTGTCTTAACACAGGAGGGGATAATAAAGAGGAGACTATGGAATTGAATTCTGTTAATAACTGTTCTTCCTGTTATGCCTATAAAGGCTGCTATAATGCTAGATAGTTAAGAATGAAAACTGGAAATGGAAATGGGTTGGATTGTTTGTTACCACAGAGAATTCTGATTCAAATTAAGATATGTCATTTCTCTGCTTAGACCAGTCAGCCTTTATTCCATGTTTGAAAACTTAGAAATAATTTAGTGGCTTCAAATATGCCAGAGCAATTTTTGGTGATATTCTAAACTTACTGTTGACAAATTTCAGCCTCCTTAGTTGTTTTGTTTGTTGTTAATAGTTACCTGTTAGTGTCCCAGTATAATCAATAAGTCTATGATTGCAAGTTGATTGTAAGTCTACCATCTTCAAATTTAGATACATTTTTAAAAAGAAAAAACAATTTCTTAGAAGCATCTTATATTTACTAATATTCTGAATAAAAGATATTCAAGCAGTTAAGCTTTCTGGATGGTAACAAAATAATTTCTAAAAGGCAAGTGCTATGACACCATGAATGAATGTAATTCTCTTAGTTTTTTACCTCTGACTATTTGGTGTCTTAACACTTTGGTTTCTATCTCAGGGGTTGTCTGCAAACCAAAACTGACATATTCTGTGGTTAGCTTTTATTATTATTTTTTTAACAGAATGCTTTGCTTTTGTTGTATTTCTTCATTCTTATTTTGTCTTCTCTGGGTTAATAACTAGTCTCCATGAACTTCCTTTTGAAAGAGCCTGTAAAAGTTAGATGAGCCTATTAGTGCTCTTTGAAGTAGCAGCAAACTGGGAGTATATGCTCTGTTATATAAAAATAAATTGTCCTTGCTATTTTCTTACATTTAGCTTTGCTAAATTGTATATAATTTGAGCTAAGACCATAGGAAACTCACTTTCTGCATGGTAAAATGACCCAATAAATGTTCCACTTTGCTTAATAATGTACATATAGTGCATTATTTTTTCTATTTGTAGATGAATTTAGTAACAGATAATTGTCTGTTCCCTGCTGAAACTGAAGAAATCTAGGGGGTTTTTGTTTGTTTGTTTTTGTTTTGTGAACATATTTGTGGTCTTATGATAAGGTACATAAAGATTTTTGCAGCAGTATTAGTGGTTCAGTGGCTGCACTTTATTATCAATGTGCTAAGTTTGACAATGATTGGACTAGAAGACCTTTTCAAATAGAGCCCGAGGGCATCAGAAAATGAAAATATGCTGTAACTAAGTAGCATGTAAATCAGTTGATTGTAAAATGTTTCACTGGGAACTTATTTTAGCTATATTTTACTTCCAACAAATTATGATAAAATAATCTACCTGTGCATCGGTTAGTAGGTGCTGCAGGGTTTCTTACTATTTACATGAACATTTTTGTGCAGTCTTTGTTATAAAATTTCAGAAGACTTTACTCTTTTCTTTGAAGGACTATTTTTTAATTATACCTCATTTAGCTAACTAGTATTCTAATACCCAGTAGAGAAATGGTGACCCAGCCTTTAAGCATCCAACTTTAGATTACATGTTTTGCTTTGTTTTGAGCTGAAGGTATTCCTAGAAAAAGTAGATGATAGCTTAGTTTAGAATAGAACATACATGTCATATTCAATAATGTTTAAAAAAGTATTATCACCCTGTGTCCATTAATAAATTTAGCCGTGCAATATAGATACATTTTTGCAAAAGTTTCTAAGTAAGAATTTTTAACTCCATTTTACCAGTTCTGAATGCTGAGAATCTGTATTAAGGCTTATAAGGTTTTCTTATGATCAGGAAGTGATATATTTTAAGCAGGCCCTCTTTTCAAGTGTATGACTTAGATTCCTTTATAAATTTAGTTTTAATCTTTAAAGATGAGCTTCTAARCCTAAAAATTTTAAGCCACATTTCATTATGTTGGTATACTTATCTCAAATTTTGAGCACTTGTTTCTGCAATCAGGTGTTTTAGATTTTTTTTTTTTAACATAAAAGACAATCCTTTTTCCTTCTTATATCCAGGGGTGGAGAGGAATGTCTAAAAATGAAATCCCTAATATAGTGGGACCTAGAAAGATAAGGTATGCTAATAAAATTTAAAATTCTAGCAAAATTTTACAGTAAGATTAGTCTTTTTTTAAGACTAGTAAAATTATTAGGGTCAAGTTCACTATGAAAAAGATTGAAATAAAGTATACAGWAATGAAAATTAGCAAACAGTTACTTTGGGGATATTTTTAGATTTTTGCTTCATTTATTGAAATGTGTGTGCTGTATGCAACTGCATTTCTTATTGCCAAGAACTGATAGAACTTCTTTCATTTTCTTACCTTTTTTAAAAATGTGAATTTAATCATGATAGTTTATTCCTATGGCCTTACAGATGGTTTTATTTTGTTTGCAGTTGATGCTGCAGTCTTTTGAAAAMAAATACCATAAACTGTTTGACTAAAATCATGCCCTTAATGGGATCTATTTTTTTCATAGAATTATCCTACTGTATATGTTTAAACATATTTTAACTTTGCTCCAATGGCTTAATGTGAAAAGCTCCTGAAGATAAAGTAGACCTGTCATGTGGTTAATCTTGTTTAAGCCAATTCATTAACTGTGTACTGATACTGATGCTGTGTATGTGTGTGTGTGTTTTTTTTTAAATGGGTTTTATTCCAGGTGAACTTTTTTTTATAATAATGTTCGTCTAAAAATAAAAACTACATAATGAAAATATTTATGGCTCACTGAAGTGGATTGCACATTTTAAAATGATTCTGTAAATTTGCTAGTTTTGATATTTTAGCAAATTATATATATCATTGAGTTGCTTAAAGATTTAGAAAAATTGCCAAACTTTCAGCTCATTCTTAATTCAGGATATACTGAAGTCATTCTGTTGTAGAACCTGTAGCTATAAACTGATCATGCTTCCCTTCTTAATCCTTGCAAATTTGTAGAGAATTTGTAACTTCTGTAGTTTTGTTTTCACTGAGAAAAATCACAGTCTGATCATACCAACTGTGTTCTGTCATTTGTTCATGTTTTCATCCCACAACTATTTTAAACCTTCACTATTTTGTCAAGCTTCCTACTGGTAGGCAGATCTTTTACCTCCCCCTCTCAGAGCAAAGCATCATTTTGCAAAGCACTTAGCCTCCTCTCTCTCCCTGAACTATGGTCCACCTTCATCCCACTCCTTCCTCTTGGTGGCAAAGGGGATCTTTCTTCCCTGGGCTCCTCTTTCTTTCTCTTCTCTTGAATCATCTTCCCAACTTATCCTGCTTTTAAGGGAACTAATAGCCCCCTTTTCTTATACTTAAAAACTCCTAAGCTGTCTTATACCTTTCTTCTCTGCATCTAAATGTCATTGACCAGCCTACTCCATTGCCCCATGCCCTACTATTCTTTTTTCTCATTGGCTTGTTATAGTTAGGCTTTTTCAAAGAATTGTCTATATTTACTATCTTCATTTTTTTTTTTATTAACCTACTCCAGGTTAGCTGCTGCCCCCACCACTTCACTGATGTCGTGTTTACAACAGCCTAGTTATAGAAGTAGTGGACAATTTTCAGCCCTTGTCTTAGCTAACTTCTTGGCAGCATTTGACTAGTATACCGTTCCCTCCTAAAAATGTTCCCTTCTCGCAGCTTCAGTGATAATATGCTTCTGATCCTCACTCTTCCCACGTAATTTCTTCCTTTTTCATATCTCCTATAAGAAGGCCAAATAATGCCCTTCCCTCCCCACAGATGATGTTCATACCCTAATCCCTGGAATCTGTAACTGATATTGTATATAGCAAAAGGTACTTTGAAGATGTGATCAAGTTAAAGATCCTGAGATGTGAAATGACAAGAGATTATCCTGGATGATATAAGTGGGCCCAGTGTAACCTAGGGGCCATTCTTATAAGAGGGAAACAGGAAATGTCAGACTTAGAAGATAGTTAAGTGATGATGGAAGCATAGGGATGCAGGGCCATGA